ACTTTGTTTACCTCAGATTTCGAAATGGAAATTCATTTATTATTATTTTTCTTATGCGGATGATATTCTCATAGGAAGCAACAATATCGAGGATGTAATGAAAGTGAAGGCTAAATTCAATAATAATTTCAATATGAAGGATCTGGAAGCTGAATCTATGATTCTTGGGATTGACATCTAGAAAGATAGAAAGCAGTCAAGATTATGCTTATCTCTAGAGGCATACCTGAAGAAGATTTTTGACAAGTTTGATATGTCAAATTCAAAGCATGTTCTAACTTAGACAAACCCTCAATTCAAGCTGAGTACAAATCAGTGTCCCAATAATGAGGTTGAAAGAGCTTATATGAATAGCATGCCATATGCTAACATAATAGGTTCTTTTATGTATGTTATGGTTTTTACTAGACCTGACATAGCATATGCAGTAAGTCTTGTAAGCAGGTACATGAAGAATCCTGGAAAGCCTCACTGGAAAGCATTGAAGTGGATTTTAAGTTACATAAATGACTCTCTGAACAGAGTCCTGATTTATGGTGGAACATGTGGTGAAAATAGTGAAGCAGAAATTGAAGGGCATGTCGACTCTGATTATGCAAGTTGTATGGATTCCAGAAAATCTATTTCTGGATGAGTGTTCACTATATTTAGCATAACTATCAGGTGGAAAGCAACACTTTAGAAGGTTGTTGCTTTATCAACTACTGAAGTTGAATATATCACTTTCACTAAAGCTGTGAAAGAAACATTGTGGCTTGAGGGTTTTGTTAAGGAGTTGAAACTTCAAAGTCGAGTTATCACTGTTAAATGTGATAGTCAAAGTTCTATACACTTGTCAAAGAATTCAGCCTGTCAAAGAACTCAATAAGGCAAGATTAGTAGCAAAAGGATTTAGACAAAAAGAGGGTGTTGATTACTTTGACATATATGCACCAGCGGCAAGAACAACAACAATTTGAGTATTTTTGCTTTAGCCTCTTTGAATGACCTTATATTTCATTAAATGGATGTTAAAACAACATTCCTAAATGGAGATCTCGATGAGGGAATCTACATGGAACAACCAGAAGGTCACATGCTTCCTGAAAATGAACGAAAAGTATGCAAACTTGTCAAATCCTTATGGTTTAAAATAGGCACCAAAATAATAACATCAAAAGGTTGACTATGTCATACTTTCAAATGGATTTACTCCAAATTCTTGTGACAAATGTTTATACACAAAGATGCATGGAAACATTGTAATACTTTTGTGTCTATATGTAGATGATATGTTGATCATTAGCAATGAGATGAATGAAATTTTAGAAACAAAGAAATTTCTGACTTTCACATTCAAGATGAAAGATCTTTGACTAGTTGACACTATTCTATGGATCAAAGTAAAATGAAATAGTAGGGGTTATGAACTTAGTCAAACACATTATATTGAGAAAATGTTGGATAAGTTTAAACACTTGCGCCTTAAGGAAGAAAACACTTCGTTTGATCATAATGTCAAACTTCAAAAGAACAATGGAAGAATTGTAGCCCAATTGGAATATGCAGGTGCAATTGGATGTCTAATGTATTTAATACATTGCACCAGATCAGACATATCATTTGCAGTTAGTAAGATGAGTAGATTTACTAGTAATCCAAATGGTGAACATTGGAAGGTCATAACCAGGATTTTCGGTTACCTCTTAAAGACAAAAAATCGTCGTCTTCATTATGGTAGGTTCACTGCTATACTAGAAGGATATACCGATGGGAGTTGGATATCGAGTATTGGAGATCATAAATCTATAACTAGGTTAATTTTTACATTAGTTAGAGGTACGATTTCTTGGAAGAGTAAGAAACAAACATGCAATACTCATTCGACCATGGAATTAGAGTTTGTGGCTCTTGCTTCCGCTGGTCAAGAAGCAGAATGGTTGAGAGACCTTATGTTGGAAATCCCACTGGCTAAAGAAAATGTTTCAAAAGTATTGATACATTGTGATAGCCAAGCCACCCTAGCAAGAGCATTCAATGAAATATACAATGGAAAGTCTAGGCACATTGGTCTTAGACATACATTTGTGAGAAAATTGATTAAAGATGTAATCATTTCACTCACCTATATACGAACGAGCTATAATTTGGCTGATCCATTTAATAAGCCACTTGTCAGAGACTTAGTAAAAACAACCTCGAGAGGCATGAGGTTGAAACTCCTCGAGTAAGAGTTCCGACAGCGGCGGCAACCCAATCTTATGTTAGTAGAACATTAATCTCAAGATTCAATGGGTAACAACAAGTCATTGATTTAGATGTTTGTCGAACATTTCGTGATAATATTGACATATAAAATGAAGATTGAGTTTTTATTTAAACTCTTAATGAAGTTCAATACCGAGGGTATGTACCCCAAAAATTCAAAAAGGGCCTCAAAGCCCCAACATTTTGACTTTTTTTTAAATAAATAAAAAAACAATTTTTTTAATAATTTTTGAAAACATGAAAAAAAAAATTTCAAAAAATGGATTTTTTTTTTGAAAAAAAAGATCGACTTTTTTTAATTTTTCATAAAAATGATTTTTTTTATTACAAAAATTAGAAGAGCACATTTTCAGAAAAAATCAACTTTTTTATTTCAATTTTTTTTATTTTTGAAAAAACGACTTTTTTTTTTCAGAAAAAACCATTTTCTTTTTAAAAAATCAACTATTTTGGTTTTCGATAAAAAAATTTATTTTTTTTAATTTAAAAAAATCAACTATTTTTAACTTTCGAAAAAAATTGACTACCTTGAACTTTAAAAAAAAAATGGTATTTTACTTTTCATAAAAAATTGATTATTTTTATTAGTCAAAAAATCAAATATATTTTTTAAAAAAATTGACTTTTTTTAATTTACGAAAAAATGACTTTTTATTTATTTTGGAAAAACCTACTTTTTTTTTATTTTCGAAAAAATTGGCTTTTTTTTTCATTTTGGAAAAAAAATCGGCTATTTTTAAATTTAAAAAAAATCAATTTTTTTTAATTTTCAGAACAAATTGTTATTTTTAATTTTCAAAAAAACCAATTTTTTTGGAAAAAAATCAAATTTGTTTTCGAAAAAATCAATTTTTTATTTATTTTGAAATTTTTTTTTTTTAAATTGAGTTTTTTTTTTGGAATAAAAGAATTTTATTAAATTTTAAAAAAGACGATACGAAACACGGTGATTCGAAAACCCGACCAGAACATAAGAACACTAACCCAACAAAATAAGGAACCTAAGGCATCAATAAAGCACTAATGTGCTTTCTAAGGTTCAACCTATTCCAACATCTATACACTACAATATCAACAATTTTAAGACCTATGTTATCAATGTTCAACTTCTTTCCAAAGCAGGTTTGGTTTCGAAATCTCCAAGATTCATACACCGCTTCTGCAAAAGCACATTTGAGAACTCTACTCCTCTAATTCTTTCCTTTGCTATTAGAAAGAAACCAATTGATTTCATCATTCTAACCACTAGGGTTTGATCAAAGTGAAGCCACTTTAGGACATACTTCCAGATATTTTGTATCATTGAGCAGGAATACAGATGGTGGTTTAAGGACTCCTCTTCATTACAAAAGTTGCATTTAATATCATCCATAAATTCATATTTTTGATAAACATAATCTTGCCAGCAAATCTTAATAAATGGTAGCTCCAATGATTTACCGCTGTCACAATCTTTTCCACCAAAATATTGCAATAAAAAACTGACAACTTTTTGGACTGTGTTAGCTATGAAAAAATATTTCTTTTATATTTAAAAAATATCACCTTTTATATTTTCGAAAAACACTCGACTTTTTTTTTTTTTTTTTTGAAAAAAAATTGAATTTTTATTTTTAGAAAATAATAAACTTTGTATTTAATAAAAAAGTTTAAAATATTATTTATTTATTAGAAAAAAATATTTTTAAAGTTAATTTTTAAAAAGGAATAATTAGAAAACAAAAAATATTTTATTTTATCTTAATTAGATTTTAAACTCCTTAAATAGTCCCACAAAGCGCAAAAATATGAGTTTAAAAATAAGAGAAAAAAAATATTTATGTAATAAAGGGTCATAAAAAAGAAAGCTAATAAGTAAGATGTCTAAATATTAAAAGTACGGTTTTTTTTACTCAGTTTAAATAAAACTCGGTTTCATGTGGTTTATAATTGGAAACCTAGTCTTATTTCTAGCCAATAGCAATTACAAATGAAATTATTTTAGATTATTCCAACAGAGTTTTTATCAAGTATTTTCTAAATTACAAGTTTAATTTCAAGTATTTAATATTAAAAAGAATTAAAAACATAAATAATCATTAACTTAACAAAATAAAAATAATATATAACTAATCATATCAAGAACTTACATAAGATTAGGATATACTGAAATTATTATTTTATTCTTAAGAAATAACTTTATAATATTTTTTCTTTAGGATATTTATATCGTTTAATAAATAAAAATATTTATATCGTTTTGTCTTTATTTTCCTTTTTATCAAACTATTGAATAATTACTTTTTTTCTTTTTATCTTTATTTATTTATTTATTATTTTTTATAAATCAAATGAAAAGTAAATAAAATAGGGACTGAGTCTGGATTATTTTCTTCAAAACCTAGAAATTACTTTTTATTTTTTTTTAAGAGACTAAATTAGATCTTGCATTTTTCTCAAAAATTAAATCTACACTTTTTTATTCTTTACTTAAAATAAAATAATTGAATTATATCTTAGATTCAAATTATGATCAAATCAATATTCAATTTGATTCAATCTTAACTTAAATAAAATTTCTCGTGATCCAATCCTAAAATTGGATAACCATTACTTTCCTAATCTTTTGGAGATAGTTTCCTAAAATATCGAACAATTATCTCCTATAAATTAACACAATCTAACCAATCATTCAAAACTTTCAAGCTTGAGTCTTTTCTCCACAAAACTCCCTTTCTCCAACTTTGCAAACATTTATTTTTCTAAAGTGAAAGATGGTTCCATCGTTTTGTGTCAATGGTTGTGGTTTCTATGCTTCTTCTTCAAACAACAACCTATGTTCAAAGTGTTACAATGATTATCTCAAAGAAAATATTGAGAAATCAAATGATCATGAAAGTTGTGTTTTTAAATCAACATCTTCTTCTTCAATGACCCATAATATTGATAGTATTTGCGAGGTTGTGGCAGCTGCTTCTCTTACCGACAATCAAAACATAAAGATAGAGAAAAATAGGTGCAAGAGTTGCAACAAAAAAGTGGGACTATTAGGGTTTAACTGTCGTTGTGGAAATGTATTTTGTAAAATGCATAGATATCCTGAAGAACATGCATGCAAGGTGGATTTAAAGAAGATTGGTCGTCAAATATTAGATAATCAAAATCTTTTATGTGTGAGTGATAAGTTAAGACATCGAGTCTAGATATGATAGTCAGTTAATAGTGGATATTATTTTTTAGTTTTAGTTTCTTATTATTAAGATTGTAATATATTCTTTATGAATATATATTATTTATTATTATTTTCCTTCAATACTTTTTAACTATTACATATTGATATTTATAATTCTTTTTATTAATTATTGTACCGAAATCAAAACTCTATGAAAATTTTATGAAAGAATTATATCATTTTATATATTCATAACTAAATAAAAAACAGCCTCCTTTTATTCAAAATTTTGTCGTCTTACTATTTTATCGGGTCGCCCCTTCCTAGAGTTCCTCTCCTTTTTTTTCAACAAAAATAACATTTTTATTTCTGAAATCTAAAATGTTAAAAAAATTTGACCACAAAATCCAAACTTTTTTTACAGCACCGTTCGAGACTTTCCATTATCATAAGAGTTATTTTTGTTGTCATGACACTCTGGTTCTTTAAAAGACAATAGTAATCTTTCATTATTTTGCTCAAAATTTACAATAAGTTTATAATTTAGTTAAGTGACCAGTTTTAGAAGCTTGTAAATGAAGATTTGTGATATCATGTCTTCTTAAAGATTAAGTGTTAAGAGTCATCAAATTCATGTTGAAATATCAAGATGAAGACAATGTCACTCTGTTGTAGTTTTATTTGTGAAAAAATTAAGTGTTCAAAATTTTTATATTCTCGTGGATTCATATGATATTAATGTCTCTAAAAAATTATTATTGTTTAAATATAGAAATTGTTTGATTCGAACAAAATGAGAGTTGTGTTTCAACCCGTAAGTCAGTAAAATTCTCGTTTTAATCTATAAAATTTTAAATGTATAAATATATATATATATATATATATATATATATATATATATATATATATATATATATATATATATATATATATATATATATATATATATATATATATATATATATATATATATATATATATATATATATATATATATATATATATATATATATCAATTATTATACATTGTGGCTTTTAAATTCTACGAAAAATTCATTTTTGCATAAAAGAAAGTTTGCCAATTATTATTAATTAAAATAATAATTTATTTTGTTAATTGTACTGTTTAATTAGTGTTGTCGATTATCATAACCTATATATTGTAATTTTTCAGTCTTATCATTTAAAATTTCCATTTCATCTTTTGTTAAGATTGTTAGTCACATCACTTTTTTTTTTAATATTAGCGTACACATTGTTTTTCTTTCTTCCTCTTCTTTTATTTTACTCTCATTTTCATAGTTTTTTTTTTAGAATAAAAAACTTTATATAAAGCCAAAAGAGAGTATATACAAGGGTATAAAGAACCCCCACTCACAAAACAACCAAAAAACCCCACTAATCTATAAGAAGGTTAGCTATATGATGTCTCATTTTAGTATTAACCCACCCTCTGTTTGCAAGGGTAGAGATTACTACATCTCTAATCTCAATGGTACTCACAGTATTGTCAAAGACGGCATTGTTACGATATTTCCAGACTTCGTAAATAGTCTCCGCTACAGAACTACGCAGGAGGCACTTCCTCTAGCCCTTACCCTTGCACTGTGTTATAATCCACTCAGTTCTTCGTGCCAATCGCAAGGGATATGTTGAAACCCCACCCAGGCCAGAATTTCTTGCCAACAGATTTTAAACGTCGGGCATTGGAATAATAGATGGTCAATCGTTTCCTCTGCGTTACAGAATTTACATCTGTCATCCGTAGTAAAACCAAACTTTTTGAGACACACCTTTGTCGCAAGTCTATGGTGGCACGTCATCCACAGAGTAAAGAGAGCTCTCGATCTAGGAATAGTATTGGATACCATGTGTTTCCATCCAACATCAAGTTCATCCTTTTTGAGGTAATGATAGACTTTACCTACAGAGTATTTTACCTTCATATCGTTTCAATCTTCCATGCCTGTCATGATGTCTCTATGTCTAAGCACAGTTTTGAAAATCCATGACATACAATGTTTTTCCTGGATCTGCATAATGTTGGTATATTTGAAATAAAAGGAATGAATCCACTTCACCCAAAGGGAGTCCTTCTTATTACAAAGGTTCCAGAGCAATCTAGCTAAGCAGGCCTTGTTCCATTCAAACAGATCCAACACATTCAAACTACCCTTCCTCCACGGCTTACAGACCGTCTTCTAAGCATTAGGGGATTTTATCGACTTCAACTCGCTGCATGTCCAAAGAAATGTTCTGCAGATCGTATTGATAACTTTTATCACATGATTGGGGAAAGGTATGCAGTTCATCCAGTAGGCCGCCATAGTAGTGATGGGACTATTAATCAATTGAATTCTGCCTGCGTAGCTCAGAAGCTTAGAGCTCCAATGACGGATCCGGCCAACAGTTCTATCAACTAAACTCATGTAATGGTGCGCAGAAAGTCTTTTTCTGGTGAGGGGGGGCCCCAGGTAGCGAAATGGAAGGTCACCTTCCATAAATGAGGTAGAATCCAAGATGTCAGTTTTGGTTTCCGCATCAACCCCCCCCCCCCCCCCCCCCAAATAAATACACCTTACACTTTGCAGGGTTCACAACTAAATCAGTGGACTGAGAAAACATATGCAGTTTAGCCATGAGCAGCTTCACATATTGGGCATCCCCACGGGTGAAGAGGAGAACATCATCGGCAAAGCTGATGTTGATGATTTGCATCTTTTCACATTTAGCATGGAAATTGTAATCCGGTATCTTCCTTAACTGGTGTAGTAATCGGTGGAGATACTCCATAGTTAAGACAAAGAGGAGGGGGGAGATTAGGTCACCTTGTCGAAGGCCCCTCTTATCCTTCATACTTTTGGTAATGCTACCACCAACCTTAAATTTGTAAGACACCGTTGATACTGCCAGCATAATCCATTTGGTGAATTTTTGAGGGAATCCCAATTCCTTGAGGATGCACTCAAGAGCATTCCAATCCAGTGTATCATATGCTTTTTGGATGTCAAGTTGCAGCAGACACCTCGGAGTACTGCCTTTTCTGTTGTAGCCTTGGATTAACTCATATGCTAACAAAATATGCTCATGGATGTTCTTCCCAGGAATAAAAGCCACCTGACTTTAGTTAATAATTGTGGTAAGGAATGTAATCAATCTTCTCGTCAAGATTTTAGATATGATTTTGTAAATGGTGGTGCAGCAGGAGATAGGTCTGAAATCCTTCACACAATTTCCACCATTTCCTTTAGGAACCAGAGAAACAAGAGTGCAATTTACAGCCGGATATATCTTGAAGTTGTTGAAGAATTCCATAACATCAGTAGTAGTATCCTCCTTTATGATGCTCCAAGAGGCTTTGAAAATTTTGGCCCCAAACCCATCAACACCAGGGGCTTTCAAGTCACCAATATCATTGAGTGCACTAGTTATTTCAGCTTCAGTGATGGGACAGTCCAGCATAGCTCTTTGGTCACCAGTAATGTGTGGCCCATCCCTCATGGCAGTCAAGTTGATTCCCTTCAAGTCACCATTAGAACTCCCCATGAGGCTTCCATAAAATGACAGCACCTCATTCTCAATTTCCTCAGTGGTGCTAAGGATTTCACCAACCACAGTACACAACTCAGAAATGTTAATACCGTTTTGCCTAGTTTTTACTTGGGCATGAAAAAAACTGTTGTTTCCATCTCCTAATCTAAGCCAGCTGATTTTGGATCTTTGGCTAAGAACCTGCTCCTCAATTTCACTTCAATAAACAATCTCATTAGACATAGTCTTAACTAGTTGAATCACATCAGGGTTATCAAGGTTATCCCTAATCTGCAGTTGGGCTTCAATTAATTTATGTCTAGAATTCTTGAGAGCAGAGGTAGCATCAACCAAAGGATTGCTAAGTTTCTTCACAACACTTTAGGTTCTAATCAGTTTTCTCCACAACACAAACATAAGACTGCCATGGATAGGGGCAATCCAGCTTTTGGTAATGTCCTCCTGATACCCCTCAACCTCAGTTACACAGTTCAGGAACTTGAATTGGGATGTTCTATGCATAACAGTCTCAGGCCTAGTAAGCATTGGCAGAGCATGGTCAAAGATACCAGGGGTAAGTGCCTTAAGATACACATTTATATATTTCTGAAACCACTCTATGTTTGCCAGACCATGTTCAATTCTAGAGTGGATGATATTTTCACCCTGTCGATTATACCAAGTATAATATTCTCCAACAGAATCCATTTCACTAAGGTTACAAATGTTCATCATATCAGTTAGGTCTTTGTACTCTTTCAACTGCACCATTGATCCCCCTCTTCTGTCAGCTGTTTGGATTACATTGTTAAAGTCACCAACAATAAACCACGGCCCCTGTTGGTTTTGATGAATGTGCTCAATCTCATTCCATAATTCCTTTCGATGGTCCTGCCTGTTAGCACCATATACTATTGTAAGCCAGAATTGGAACACCTCACTCATATCATAGACACCACAGTGAATCATTTGCCCAGAGCTGTTAACTTTCCTTATCTCAGTTTTAGAATTGTTCCACCAGATCCAGATTCTACCAGTCATATGGTTAGTATAGTTGTCCAAAAAAACTACCTTTAAGCCTCCACTTACATCTAATTTTGTCAGCCTTTTCCTGCTTCACTCTAGTTTCAAGCAAAATACAGATCATAGGGTTAAGAGACGAAGGCGGGAGCTAACCTCTTTAGTCTTAACCATCTTATTCAGGCCCCTCACATTCCAAGAAACTAACATTGGATAGTGTCCAGGCTACTAGCAGGATCATTCAAAAACCCCAGCATCCCAAATTCATTTTGGCATTGGATAGATCCCTCTTCATTGGCAGGTCCTTTCCTTTTTCCTTTACTATTGCTAGTTATCCTCGTCCATACCTCATTCTCAGGCTGTTGGATCTCTTCATTAGTTGTCACTTGTCTTGGTGTTCCACTTGTAATATCATTGTCTTTCTCATTCTCCTTTTGTGGCTACACTTGTACCTTCACCCTCCATTCTTTAGCAGGCTTT